CTGCTGAACAGACTCATTTTCTGTGTCTTGGAAGCTTTGACTTGGAATCTGCTCTGCTGCAAAGGAATACAAAGAAAAATGTTAAATATGAAGTCGTATGTTTAAATTCCTTGGGTAAATCAATCAATCCACAATAATAAAAAATGGCTAGGTGCTCATTCAGGGATGCACAAAAAGGTAGTGACAGCCCCCATGGAAGTAAAAAGAAATATTTCTATTAATTTTATTGAAATGGATTTTGTGCCCTAAGATAAAAGTAAAGGTAATTGTAGAAAGAGATTTTATACTATGTATAGATATATGGCCATTCCTTTCCTTACTGCTTAATTGCTGGAGACAATTATAACAAGAATCCAGAAAATATTAGCTAGGCTTTATTAAAACACCCATATAGTATTACAACAATAATACCAAAATACAGCAGAGCTTAATAAAAACCAGGGACTTAGATCCAATGTAGGATTGTACATTTACAAGTTAGACATTAAAGCACCTTCCTTTTAAGTGTCTGGCCCCTGCAGGGAATCCAGAACCCTGCAATAGGTACCTGGGCTCTTTATACAGTGCCAAGAAAATTAGATGCCACCTTATGGTGATTCAGAAACTTGTATGCTAAATGACCCAGAGATTTCTAATAGGAAACACTGAATACAAGAGGTAGTCATAAATCCATCCTTCTGAAGCTTAGGCTGATTCAGGGCTCTAGGAGCACACCACTGTTTATATAAGATCAACTACCTGAAATTCTCCCCTGAAGATAGATACCTGCTTCTGTTCTTTAGAAGAACGAGCAGGGCTTATGGGGACTCTAAGGCACCTGTTCTACCTTCCTAAGCCTAACCATCAGCTGCCCCAACCACCAGGCTGTAAGTTATGGTGGGTGGGAAGTTCCTCAGTTGTGGAATACAAGGTTCATGAGGATAGAAAGAAAAGGCAGACTGAAGCTAGAGCAAGCAATACTCTGTAGCCTAACGGTTGGAGCACCCAGCTGGCAAGGGTCGAAAGTATAGGGTCTGTTCCCAGGATCATTTCTGTATTTTACACCAAACAGTCCTTGGAGCAGGCACCTACAACTTCTTTACTGGATCTAGCTCTTAGGCTGTGATCCTGAATATCCTACAATATCTAACATTCAGGTACATGGTTCCTCATATGGAACCCAAAATTATACACCTAGACTTTCCATATGATGCATGGGAAGAGTTAGCCTCAGAAAGAGATCAAAAACAGGTTGTTGAGCAGCAGCCACCTGAAATCAGCACTCTGAGCAGGGAGCTACTTGGGCTGGTGGGGGAAAGTGCACAAAAAAGAGGTATGTCTTAAAGCCTACTTCTCTTTTAAGCTTATGTTCTTCAGTATTATTGGGAAGGGCTTCCTTCTTCTTGGACTTCATGGTGTAGAGCCCTTGCTTAAAAATAAGTGCCTAAAAATTTGCCTTAAAAATGAAAAGGTCATGTTTTTCTCTTAAAATGCAGCCAAGTACAAGGAGAGTGGCCTAATCACCAGGCAGTAGGCTGGCGATAGGAGAAGTTCTCTCAGCATCTCCTGCAGAAGCCACTCCACTTGCTGTAAAAGGGAGTGGGAGTCCACAAGAGTGGACACACCTCTGTAGTTTAGTGGATAGAAAACTGTCCTGGTGGTGGACACCTTCTTTAGGGTGATGGGAGGGGTAGCTTTAAATGTGCCTGGGTGGAGGAAGGAGCTGAACCTTCATCACTCGCATCCTGAGATACCGAACTACTGAGCTGCTGAATGAAAACAGGCTCTGGGCAAGGGAGGCCATTCCAGTGGTAGCTCTTTTTTTTAAGCAGCAGCTGCCACTGTACATTGTATAGAGCCCAATCTGGTAAGCGCCCTCTGAGAACACCTGCTGAATCAAACCTGTCTGGCAAGGCAGGCAGATGAATGTGTAGTTTTTAGGTCCCAGAGGGACTTTGTCGTGCGTTAGATGCTGAGCTGCCAAGCCCTGACAAGACTGAGGTGCTTAGGGGTGTGCACAGAAGCAGAACTTGAATGTGAAAACCTGAGGTGTCTGTACAGTCTAAACACCCCCAGAGCTGGGGAACTGCTGAGGCTTGGTAACCTGAACTACACCTATGTTCCTTTCTGGGTCTGGGAGTTTATTCTTTCCTCATCTACACCTTTGACCGACCAGTGACCCTCCACAAAGAAGTAACCAAGGGAAAAATTTAACAGCAAGTTTCTATTTTTCGTGGTTCCTTCTATATTGCATTGGACATGAGATACTGATATAATCTGTACTAATCAGAAGGTAAAATCTGAAAATGTCTCTGGAACTGTGTTCTCAAGGATATCAGCTTACACCTTGAGCAACCTCACCAACTGTAGATTTGTTTTCAAATTGTACAAAATACTTTAAGTATTTAATCTGTTCTATCATATAAGCAGTCTTTCTAGTGGGGCAGTACATTGCAGAAATGTGTTTCCTCTTCATTTTTTTCCCCAAGGAAAGCACCGTTTCTTTTGTTTATTTAGCACTTTCATTTCTGGTTGTTAAACATTAGGAAGTGAAAGACCTCTCAGGATCTGCAGCTTACTTTTTGTCAGGTAATAAATAATGTTCTATGTTGCATTAGCAGGTACTTCTGAACTACTTGTCAAAAGCATATCCTGCTGTCAATCTGTGTGTAGAACTTCCATTGACGTCTGTGGCAGTTTTGCATAAAAATGAGGATACAGTCCCTGATTGGCATACAAGCACAGCATACTAGGACCTGCTCTTACTTCTGTGAAAATGAGTAACAAAACTGCCATTCGTTTCTATGGTGGAAGATTATGCCATTACCTTTCAGTCACTCAGGATATGAGACTGACACTTGCTTAACAATAAGATGCAAGAAAAAAGAAGTCTGATGGCCTCAACCTAATCTTTATTTGTCCACATCACAATGCCCCCTACAATTCATTATTATACAGCAAAAATGACCTTCTCTGTTCACAGAGGGCCTGGATTGGATTAGTAAGTATGTTGCAGAATGATTTTGAAGTGCAGTGATTGAAATGAAAGCTTGTAGTCTAGTCGATTCAATGAGTTGCCATTTTAGCCTTTGAGAAAACTAAAATTGCCTGAAATTGCTGCATTTACAATTGTCTATGATTAAAAAATGATAAGTAAAAGAGAAAAAATGTACGTGTGATTTTTGGGGTATTTCTCTGATTAAGATGTTAAATGTAGTAGCCAGCAGGACACAACCTGGGAGCAGACCTTAAATTCATACCTTTGAAACAGTAGCAAAACATCTTAAATACTTTGCTACTGCACCCACTGCACCATTCTCCCTCTCTTTTAGATACAAAGGAACAATCATTATGAACAGAAGATGGCATATTGAAAGCTGATAATGCATAATTAATGGATGGAACTTCTTGCCATTGATTACCATTGAGGCCAAATTCTCAGAAGTATTTAAAACAAGAAACGGACATGTGTATGGATCACAAAAAAGCTCAAATTCCAACAACTGCTGAAAAGTGCACCCCACACATATTCTGAAAAGGATATAAACCGTGATACTTCAGGGTATAAACCAAGCTCAAACCTTTGGTGGGGCATTAGGAAGAAAGTACTTTTTGAGTTTCCCCTTTACTGCCTAATTCATGCTGTCCTGAACCTTCCTCTAATGCAGCTGGTACTGGCTACCATCAATGCCAGGATCTTGGACTAGACTGATCACCTGTCTGGCCTACTGCTGTTTTGTGTGTCAACATAAATAGAAAATTCAACATCAGTTCTAATACAAAACTCAGTAGGAGTACTTTTTAAAAGGTTTAATTGAGATCACTATTTTAATTGTTTCAAGTGATGGAGAATTATCTTTTTTGATTGGATCTTGAAAGCTGTCTTAATCCAAATATACTTAAATATCTTGGCTTCAGGCAACATGAAATTAAATCAATCCCGTTAATACACAGGCATTAAGGACTTAATGGACATAGTAAGAATGAAAAAGGCACACAGAAATCTTGTTTAATCTTAAGGAAACTGTTTAAAAGGTGACAAAATAAAACAAGTAATATTATTTATATTAATAAATCTAATCAACTTCAGACTTCCTTTTTTCCTTTGCAAGCTATAAAATGAAAAGTGAATGGGTTCTTACCTTCTTGCTGGGCAAAACAGACTGTTAACAACAGGGCCCATATTGGCACTTGTATCCCCCTACCAAACCCCATCTGAAGGGGAGTTTGGTACAAGGATACGTTGTCAGAGGTTGGTCAGGAGGACTAGTTCACCTGCACTCTCAGAGTCTTATATAGTAAGAGAGTTTGGCTTTATTCCCAGATTGTTTCACGGGGTCTAAGAAGGTGGGGTCTTGGGCAGATGCATTGGACAAACAGAAGATACTTTTCCTTTCTCAACAACGGGCAATCATGTTTGCATTTAAGGAGGAGTATTGTTTTATTAAGGTTCTGTCCAATGAAGAAATACAAAACAGATGGCAATGGAGAGTAATTCTTCACCCACTAACAGCAGATCCTGGAAAAAACTCAGGATCTTTTGAGTCACTTTGTGGTTTTTCAAATGATATGCAGGTAACCATTTAAGTTTCTTGTTACTGGAAACGATGCCAATCACTTCTCTGGCAAGAAAACAATTCTTTCTCAACCCTCAGTGGGATGGAACATTTCATGTGTGATGGACAATTCTCATTTTAGAAGTCATTTTTTGCCTCATGGTATAGATATTCTTTTTGTGAAAAGTAACAGATTGATAGGTTTGGAGGGTCCTACACTTAGGAAAATGACAATTATTGTGTAAATACATGCAGTGAAAACTTATTTATTCAATAAGCATTATTCGCCTTTATGGGAGATTGTCGAGGGTAGGTGTTTTAAGGTCTGGGTCCTCTTCGACTTTATATCCTCCTAGTGGATGATATAAGGCTGTAGGGAATGCTGCTACTTCCTTACCCAGCTGCCTGTTGACATCAAATTATTTTCCCCTCGTGTTTAGTTTTTCTTTTATGCTTGACTATCATGACTTTGATCTTATGCAAATTAGGAAGATGGTCCTGATGGTGCGAATAAACTAAGGTCTACTGGGGGGAGGGCTATCTTTGTGGGACTCCATCTCCCCTGCACTCCATGCTTACCACATCCAGCATGTTCCACAACACTCTTCACCAGGGGTGCATCCCCTTCCTTTTGGACCCCGGATGCTGGTCACCCCAGCATGGCTATTAAATATTCAGCTAGGTTCTATAACGTCACTTCTCACTAATTCAGAACATCATTACCATCACTCAGTGTATAGGTGTCCTTTCATTTATCAGTTCACACTATCGGTTATCGTATAAGTATTCTTTACTCTACCTAGTTATTTTGACGGTTTCATCACCATAAGAATCAATTAAGCAGACATACATTATCCTCAGGAGGAGTTCTCTTCCCTTCTTTTATCAGTTCCCTTGTCAATAAGTCTGAGAGGGACTAAACAAAAAGAAATACCTTCAAGCTTACTCGTGCCCCTAGGAAAAGAAAATCTCCCCAATGGCTTCACTGAAATAGTCCTGGAAATAAGAGACGAATGAATTTTGAAGGCAAAATGCCCACTCATGGATGGCAAGCTGTGTGCTGTTCAATTCTTTGAGCTTCCTTCTCTTTTCTCTGTTGGTACTGGATTTATGACCCAGATACCTTGTTCCAGACAGACCCCAAACCCTCAGATCAACCACAACTTTTCCATTCAATAATAGGCCAATTTATTGATACACAGTGATAGCAGATAAGAATAATGCAAATAATTCTATATCTACCAGTCCTAGAGCTGTCATCAGAGTCAAGGTATGTCTGGCCAATACACGAGCTTCACTCTGAGGTTTTCTTTTGAATGCCAAATGTCAGCAGCCTAGAGGTTGAAGGTCGAGGTCCCACCCTCCTCCCCCACAGTAGGGTGGGTGAGATGGGTTGGTGGTATGCCCTCTGTCCATGGTGGCCTTGGGTTCCCCTCTCAGGGCCCCTTTGCTGCTCTAAAATCCCTTTTTCGTATATTTTCTCCTCCTGTGATAATTTTTCATCCTAGGCATCATTGATTGGTCTCTCTGTGGTCGTTAAACTGTTCATGTTTTGTCCTGTCAGCATGTTCCTTTGTTTCACAAACCCATCACATGCACACATCCTAATTTGGACTTTCCCAATCTTCTCCTAATTTGGTCTGTTCCTCCAAAACCAGAAAGCCCAAGGGCCCTGAAGTTGGGTACTGTGACTTGGCGCTACCTTATTTTATGTTATGGAACAGTATGGTACATGTCTTCAATTTCCCATCCTGTGTGTCTGTTCACTGCTTGCCCGTAGCAGACACAGTAGGCCTTGGAGGAAACTCTCATCACAAACAGGCTTTTTAGAAATCAATTAACCCTCCTATTGCCCTGGACCATTACTCTAATGCATATCTACTTTCCCTATAAGCCAATTACCAAAAGCAAACCTCTAAATACCATTTTCTAACCATCATTCTCCAGGTATCCTGATCACAGGACTCCAGTGATGGTCTCTGGCTCACTGGGTGGTCCTCTGAACACTGTTGCCGATTGCCACAGACCTCCTCTGCCAAGAGGTTCTGGCCAGAGAGCCCTTCAGTGGTTTCCCTCTTGAGATGCTGCTCACTCCTCTCTGGCTGCCCCTTTCTGGGAATGGAAGCACTTTCCTGGGTCAGCCCACCACCAATGAAGAGGGAGCAATGGCTCCAGAAGTGTCCCACAGAGCTGTGTTCATCACAGGCATTCCTCACTTCATCCAAGGTAAGTTTTAAACAGGGGTCACTCATGGGTTTTTCTCTAACCCCAGAGCCTCTTCATCCACAGAGATTTAAGCTGGTTTAATTCATTTTCCCCCCTCATTACATTAGCTATGAACCCAAATTCTAGACTCTAGATATAAACACTCTAGATTTTCCATGCACATAAGTTCAGGTTTTGACACCAAAGGCTATTTTCTGCTTTCAAATTTGAAAGTAGAAAATTAGTCCCTGCCCTATAAAGGATATACCCTTAGTTCTGTACAATACACTTTTTCTATGTCTCGTTTCACTTTTTCTATTGCTTATTTCCATATTAGCCCTTGTTTTGTCACATGAAGTTCATCTCTCCACTGCCTTTGTGGGTGGATGGTAAGGTCAAGAGGACACTAGTTGGGTAGTTTCCTCAGCATCTTTGGCAGGTGCAAATTCTGTCCCTCTGTTATAACAGGTATCTTACGGAATGCGAAACCTAACTTGACCTGACCTTTACATTCCTAAACTATTCCTAAATGAATAGTTAGGAACATCACCACCTACTTACTATGGTTACTTCCTTCTGCTAGAACCACACAGATTCCAGAAATTGTGGTGTGGTAGCCAGAGGACCTATGGCCTTCCAGTTCAGAGGGCATGTCTACATGTGCCCCAATGGCTCTGTTGTTACTGTGCTGTCATTTAGTACTTCCTTTTAGTACTAAACGACAGTGCAGTAACAGCCTGTACTGCACTGTGGCAGTGGTGTGTAGTTATTTTTAGCTGCTATGTCACTGTAGCAATACACTATACTAAGGGAGCGTGTTGCTATGGCAACATAGTGGCAGCATCATGGTTTTTGCCTACAGATGCTATGTGTTGCTATGACGATGTAGCATCACATGTAGACGTGCCCAATATCACAATAAGAAGAGGAGACTAAGGTGAAAAATGTGGGAAATTAGTTGTCCCTACAATATTTCCCTCTATTTTGTATCAGGATTAATGCCAGATCCAAACTCAGATTTGTGTAACGAACAGGACTCAGAAGAAATTCTGGGCTCCAAATACTTACATTTACAACCTACTAATCCAGATACACATCTGTAATAAGTGGGCATCCTGGGGCTGGTTGATAGGGGTGTGTGAACTTGATTTGGATTCAGCCTGAATTGGGGACAGTGATTCGATTTGTTGTTTCAGATCACTGTCCCCGATTTGATTCGACTGAATCTGAATCTGAAGATTTGATGCTGATTCAAGGAATCAGTGATTCAGATGTAGACACAGCTTTAAATGTTTTTTCTACATACCTCTGGGTACCAGGTGCAGCTTGTGAATGTTGAGATTCTGGGGCAGATGGAGCATCCCACAGGAGTTCAGGGGGCCCCCCAGCATGCTCCGTGGTGAACCTGGAAGTGGACCAGAACTACTTCCGGTCCACTTCCAAGCCCACTGGGGAGCACACTGTGGGCCCCCCTGCACTCCCCTGACTCAGTTGCAGGGGGACTCCGGCTGCCCCCGCCAGACCCAGGAGGCAACAGTCACTGAGCTGGGGGGGCACAGAAGGGGCCCCTGCATGCTCCCTGGTGGACCCAGAAGTGAACTGGAGCCCCTTGCGCTTCTATGGGACACTCCATGCACCCCAGCATCGCAGCATTCATGACCTAGAGGTATGCAGAAAAAACATTTACAGCTGTATCTATGTCTGAATCTCCAAATCTTTCCAAATCTCTCCAAGTCGATTCAGAGGGTTCTGAATTGATTTGGAGAGATTAAAGGGTCTCCTGATTCGATTTGGGTTTGGAGATTTGGCCACCTCATTGATCTGAATCTCTGCTGAATCCAATCAGTGACCGAAGCTTCGCACAGCCCTACCAGTCAAATTATTGGCCTGCCCACTTGTCTCAGGGATAACTGCCTGCCTACCTCATCTGCCATGCCTTTGATAATACTAATTGGAAGATGTTAACCAGGTGGGAGGCTCATTTACTTGCCCTGATGCCAAGGGCCTATATACACGGCTCCAAACCTCCCCTTATACCGTGTCCCATGCCTTGCAGATGGTATCCATAGCCTAACACCTGGCCTATAGCTTGTTTGGCTTAACACCCGGCCTATACGTCCATGCCCACACACTGGGACCTGCACTCCCATGCCTCATGTTGGGACTTTCACTCCCATGCCCTCACACTGGAGTTCACAATCTCTGTGCCCTCACACTAGGATCTCAATCAATTAATTGGAGCTCTCAGCATCTCCCTTTTCCTTGGGCTCCCTGCCTGGCTTGGGACCCTCTTGGTCCACTCGCACCAGTACACTGGGGCCTCATCCCCTGCCCGACACTGGGCCTTAATCCCCCTTAATCCCTTGGCCCAGGAGCTTCACACCTAGCTCCCTTGTAGATTTAGGGCCCCACCTCCCTGGGGCCTCACACCTCGCTCCTTTATATACCTCAGCA